AGGATGATGACGCCCGTCTTCATCACCTAATGTGTTATGTTAATTCCACATTGTCCCTCAAAATGATAGGATGGGTCGGAGACAAAATTGAAGATTTATCATTAGGACTATTTGCAGATGCGGATTTCGCTGGATGTGCCCAATCCTTGAGATCAACTTCAGGATCGCACTTACAAGTCCAAGGTAAGTTCACAAGATTCCCACTTGCTGGTGGAAGTAAGCGACAAGGGTGTGTTAGTCATTCTACTCCCGAAGCTGAAATTGTGGCTGCAGATACTGCACTTAGGACTCTAGGAATCCCGGCATTAAGTCTGTGGAAAGTCTTAGCCAAAGTTTTTCCTCAACTCCTGTTCCACGACGATAATCAAGGTATGATTGGTGTTGTCAGATCAGGACGGAATCCAACCATGCGTCATTTGGAGCGCACACATGGTATTTCCATTGCCTCCATGCATGAACATTTCCAAAAGGATCATTTTGTATTGATCTATGAAATTACAGCCAAAATGGCAGCAGATATCCATACTAAAGGGTTCAAGAATCCCATGGCATGGAAGAAAGCTTGTATGCTAATCAACTTGTTGGAACCTCAGGACTTGCAGAGCAAAGAAGTATTGGACATGTTGCAGCCAAGCACCGATGTCGATATGACTACTCGCCAAGTTTTCCAATCCAAAACTGAGGACATCCCAAACTTCCCATACACGGAAACCCCTATTTTGCCAAAAGAAGTGTATAGGAAGGGTTTGACTAGTAAAGAGAAGCTACAATACTTGCCAGGTATGGATCCCATTTTTGTCGTCAAGCAACCGGTGTTTTATCGTCCTAAGCCACCCGGCTTGATCGTGCCGCCAGATGTATTGAGATCCACATGGGTTCTTCTCAATGGTGCGTGGACAAAGGTCGAACACCGTGCATCTCCACCAGAGCAGGCTATCAGATTTGATAAGTGGGTTGAACGAGCGTGTTTTCAGTATCATTCGCCCAACAAGCAGCCGTTGATCCCGGACACTGTTTCACAATCCGTTTCAACGACCTCAACCCACCGGGTGATGTCGTCAAAGCACGTGCATGCCCCGCCTGCCCACTCGAGCTCACTACGTGACTCGTGTGCGTCAACACCACATGACCGTGTACAGCATCTGACCGATTCACCAATGCTGATGTTCTCGGTTGATGCCTTGTTTTTAGATGCACAGACATCACCGTCTCAACACCCGAAATCCATTCACCAGTGCCTTCAGCCAGCCACACGTGTGATCAATACGCTTATGCGCCTTGTTCATGGGGGGAGTGAGGGTGAAGGATGGCATTCGCACAGTGACAAGGGGCACCCACAGTCCACTTCAACACCTGGCCTATGTCATAAGCATCCGGAATTGGACATCAATGACAATATTCCGTTTGTAAAATCCACCCGAAAATCCCAAGTGTTAGGTAAGAAAAATGAAGACCATTGGCAGTGGGATGGGAAAGAGACATTGATCCGAATTCACAAAACGCCAAGAAGGCAAAACTTTGTGCCACAGGATTGCGAAGACTGTCCCTGTGACCCTAGGATCATATATGATGAAAGGGAAACTGAACAAAAGTTCAAAACCAACACTCGAGTGATCAAAGACATATGGAGATTCAAGGGCGACAATCATGAATCAACAAACAAGTTGAATGAGTTTTGGACAGGAAGATCGACATTCAAGGTGCTCGCCAATGCTGAAGTGATCAATGGAGGTAAGAACTGTAAAGTGAGTCAGGGAGTAATCACACTCTGCACCAATTGCAATGACGTGAATACTATTCCCATCACTGATGTTTTTGTCCCCTATCAATATCACATTGAAGTAGGCAAACATGAGGTTGACCATCCCAAGGTGTCGGTAATCCTTTGGAGAGAAAAGAAAAACAGAACTTTGGAATTTCAATTTTCCAAATCACCTTGTGACTTGATGACATCAAAGTATGCGAAGTTTTCCCTTGCAATCAATTTGATCGAAGTTCCTCAAGCAGTCCCATGCTTCGTCTTGTTATGTTCGGAAGAGAGAAATTGGTTTACGTTCTTGCAGAACAAAATGAAGGACGAAATGAAGTTTCATGTCGTGCCAATCACTGAAGATGACGACATGCTCTCTCCGTACGGAATCAGTAAAGCAAGGCGATGCCTTCGGACCAAACTTGATTCAGTGTTCTTTGCAGGTCCATGTACAGGAGGTTCACCATGGAACCGAATCAACCGATGGGTAAGCGAAGCAACGACACAACTCATCGAAGCAAAGAAGCAGATCTTCTGGGCGATGTGGGAAGTGTTTACATCAGTGCTAAGTGAACTTATCAACATGGGATCACCAGCCTTGCTTGAGTTGCCTAGGGGTTGTGACTATTGGAAGGACCGTAGAATGACTGACCTTGTGGAAGGAACCGTTTCTCATGAACACAAATTTGATGGATGCATGTATGGCTTGAAATCACAATTCCAAGAGACTCCCAAACCAATCAAGAAACCATGGAAGATTGTTTCATGGGGGGTGTCTTTTCCAAAGCTTCATAGAAGATGTGATCGCCGTCATGACCATGCTGAGTGTGCCGGTAGGGAAACTCGCATTACTCAAGTTTACACCAAGTGGATAGCCAAGATCATCATGAATGGAATCAATGATCATGTAACCAGGAATAGTCCATTTGTGAACGTCAGAGTGATGAAACGTTGGAAGCCGCTTGCATGTGATGAACAACTGAAAGCTGAAATGTCTCGTGATTCCGAGAATGTCCGCAGTCACCCAATCAAGTCGGTGGCAACATCCGTTTGTGCTACTCGAGAGCTCGACGCCATTGACCATTCGTTCGAGCGATCGCTACTGCACTGGTGCTTTTCGAGATTGACATCAACTTCGGTTCTTTCTTCGTGGCACTTTTCATTTTCGTGTCGACCGCTTTCTGAATTCGACTCCGATTGGTTGTTACGAGACCTACGGTTCGTACAACTATTTCCGCTGCTCGAGCTGTTGTTACGAGACCTACGGTCCGTACAACTTTATTCTGTACAAAGCGGGATGGCCGAAACCCATGATCTGAACTCGGTATAGGGCAATTCTCCGGAAGCCGAATCACCGTTGCATTACGAGTGCTGAAGGGATTGTCTGAAGGAACCATTGCAGCCAAGACTCCATCACCATTCCGAGACACCCGAGGCTCGAATTTTCGCCTGATCTCAGATGAGGACACACTTGGATGTTCATGGCCTTTAGTAAATGTTTAGTATATTTACTAAATGTTAGTAAATTTTAAGTTGGGTTTAGGATAGTTATCATAGATGCATAAATCGGACTTAGCGGGTTTATAAGTTGGACTTACTAACTAATATAAGTCTGACTTAGTAAATAAATAGCAGATATAGCTAAATCAGATTTAGCTGAAATAGTAAATTATGCCAAATTGGCTAAATCAGATTTAGGGGCTTTGATTTTTCTTCTTTGTGGCTAAAAAAAGCACCTACATATGTGAGATTATGTGAGTATTTGGGTGGAAGCTTCGAAAATGGCAATGTATATATATATAAAGGAAATCAGTGGCCTGTAAAAAATCGCGTGCGGCTGGAATAACACCCGTGCGGGTCCGGTCACTGTGTGTGAAAGTGTTTGTGTGTAAAAGCCTCTGCGTGTGAAAGCTTGTGTGTGTAAAAGCCTCTGTGTGAAAGTGTTTGTGCGTAAACGCGTCTATGTGTAAAAGCGTCTGTGTGTCAAAGCTTCTGTTTGTAAAAGCCTTTGTGTGTAAAAGTGTCTGTGTGTAAAAGCGTCTGTGCAAAAGCCTCTGTGATTTCATTGTGAAAGTCTCTGTGTGTAAAAGCTTCTGTGTAAAAGCGTCTGTGTGTACAAGCCTCTGTGTTTGAAAGTGTGTGTTGTGTGCAAAAGTGTCTGTGTGTAAGAGCGTCTGTGTGTAAAAGTTTCTGTGTGTAAACGCGTCTGTGTGTAGAAGTCTGTGTGTGTAAAAGCTTCTGTGTGTAAAAGCCCCTGTCTATGAGTGTGTGCGTGTGTGAAAGAGTCTCTATGTGTAAAAGGGTCTGCGTGTAAAAGCTTCTGTGTGTACAAGTCTGTGTATGTAAGCTTCTGTGTGTAAAAGCCTTTGTGTGTAAAACGTCTATGTGTAAAAGTGTCTGTGTGTGTGTATGTGCGTGTATGTGTCTTCCTCTTTGTGTTCTGTTTGTGTGCGTGTGTGCGTGTGGTATCTTTGTTTGTGTATCTGTGTGTGTATGTGTTTCTTTGCTGTCTGTCTCCGTCAGTCTCTCAAATTTTGTATTTATCTTTGTCTACTTCTGCTTAGAATCTGACATATAGTATTCCTCCTTTCTGCTGATCATCTGCATCATCTTCAATGAAGCTTTCACCTATACAATGTCTTTGATACTACCTACAAACAGACGGCATATAACCAGCCCAAACCAAAGATGCCAGCCACATTTCTGACAATCGCAGATAAAGTTTGCAGGCGCCGTATACCAGTTTTTCTATATATAGGCGAGGAAGGAATTTCAACAAAAAAATCGTTCATTCAACAGTTCTTTCGACGTTGCACTTGCAGCCTCCCCAAACGGCCTGCACATAGATCGAAGCCAACCACACCTGCATGCAGAGCTTTGTTGCTCGCAGGCAATTCTTGCAGAGATGTTTTCTCGCAAGGCAAGTTAGTGCGGGGAAGTTGGCGAAGGAGTTTCTCAAAATAGGATGCAACTTGCAACGAGATTTGAAACATGGTCAAAAACAAAGATCCTGCGAATCATCATGTTGCAAGCTGAGCTTTTTCACTTGCGAAATGTCACCCCTCTGGAATCTGTCAATGCTCAAGAAATGCACCCCTCTTGGTTTGCATGGCTCCTTTTTGAAGGAACACTGCAGTCATGACAATCAATGCCATGATGGTCATCTCTGTACGGAGATTATACCAGGTGCACCACGCCTACATAGGCTACAGCCAGATACGGCTATCCACGCATATACAGCTATCCACGCCTATACAGCTATGCACGCCAAGGGCTGGTCCCATTCAGGGCGAGTTTCCAAGTGGGCGGTCAGCTTAATGACCACTGTTTTCAGCGGCATCTTCTTGCAGTAGATGCAATCTGCCGTCGACTGCGGTCCCCGGAAAAGGACCGACTGCCCATTGTCGCTGCGGCACACCAGCAAGTAGCGCACGGCTGGATACCCGTTGCCAAGGATGAAGATATCCTCCTGGGCCTCCAATCTCTCCACCTGCCTTGGTGGCACATGTTCGAAGTCCTTGTCAGCGATCGTGCATGTCATCACTCCCTCGCTCAGCTGCAAGTAGTTCTGGAGGCGTTGGGTTCCAATGATCACCATGCCCCAAACATACTCGGCAGCTCCAGCCATGGATCAGCAAGGTGATAGTTGAACACTATATGCGAGGTGTCTGGGCCAAAAGTCTTTCTTTCCAATACAATTGCGAGGTTACTACCCCTGCAATTGAACCCTACGATTTATTTGAATAAAAATCTGCAGGGTTTGTTTGGCAGTCTTATAGACTTCTTGTTTCAATCACATGCAGTCACAAGTGCAAAGTCGCTCGCAGTTCCAGTTCAAGAAGGAAAGATTGCACATCTATTGCCACGCACTCTGCCGATGTCAAAACAAGGATGATGCATTCGACAATTGGTCAAGTAATGCAACTTCAAGGAAGTGAATTCCATCAAAAGGGTCGCTCAAACCCTTTGGCATGCAGAACAAGTGGTCAAAAATAAACTCAATCAAGCATTTCTTGTGCAAGTGAAAGATCCCAGTGCGTAAAAACCCTTTCTGTTCATCAAGTTTCACATGTATTGCCATGTAGTTTGCCAATTTCAAAAACGACTGAAGCAACGCACTCTCTTTTCGTCCCTCATACCATCTAATCGTCAGTAATCATCTTCGATCCTTTTGATCTCCTGCCGTGCCATGTACATGGCCGTCTCCCACTCCTTCTTGGTTGCAGTCTGCACCATGGAAACTGCTGTTGACAACACCTCAGAATTTCCGCAACCTACCCGTCTCACAATGTTTCACTGCTTCACGCCTCTATAACCTTGCCTTGATACAGGGTCAGCTACATGTGATGGCACTTTACACTATAGTCACACCATAGTGCATGCGAGCTACTTCATCCAACACATGGAGTCCCAAGCAGTAGTATCTCTGACGGAAGCGGTCCAGCATGCACTCCCGCTTGCGGGCACGAGTGCCATGGCTGAAGGAACAAGGTGTCATCGCTTTTCTGTGGCAGGTAGCTTTGAATTGCAAAGGACTTCGTGTCACCCAAGCAATCGAATCGTGTGGCAGCAATGACAAATCTAGTTGTATATAGTTGCGAGATCTAAATCTCTGCAACCCAACCATGCGAGCATGCAACAACTCTGCAGTGGTTCACAAAGGTAGGGAGTCCCACAGCGGTTCCCACCTCGCAATCCAAGTTGGCAGCATTCCAGCCTGGTAAGGACATGTGCTGGAACAAAAACACCCTTCTTGGTGCTTATGTTTGTCGATTCATCTTTGAACCTTGTGTCCATTGATCCGTGCACATGTTGGATGATCACATTGTGTTCCAACCCCTCTTGCAAACCTGCAGAGCCTACAGCCTCACGTCCAAACGACTTCTCTTAACACAACGTTCACTGGTGATTCTACTTCTTTGACTAAGGAATGAGGTGGGGCATGCAATCCTTAAGTTTGTCTTGGGCCATGAGCCACAGTCGCGAGATCAAAGACTCTGCAACAAAGTCTGCGACGAATCTGCAGACTCCACAATCAGCACATCAGAGTAAGATTCAGTTGTCTGCTGACCTCAAACCATGCTGCCTGGCATGTCCTGCAATGCTTACAAAGAAAGGTTGGTTAGCTTTTGCCTTTCCTGAAGTTGACACTGCTCTACAACATCTCAAGTTTACCACTATTTGGTGCACTTGAGGCACTCACAAAGGGAGGCACCTGCATAGGCCTCCAATCTGCAGGCAAGGGCAGCCCACCTGAGAATGTAAAGCAGGGACAGCTCTATATTGGCCATGTTGCAAATGAGGTGGCAGTGCTTGTGAACATGAAGGCAGTCTACCTTCTGAAAACCCTGCAGAGTTTCTCGCAGGGTTCAGTTGCAGAGGCTCTACATTCTCGCAACTGAGTCCACTTGTGTCATCGAACCCATGGGCATGTGTCAAAAGAATGGGTGCCACAATCATTCCAAAGTAAAATGTTGGCCCCATCGAATTGAAGGGAAATCCAGTCCCATGCAAGCCTGCAATCATCCGAAGACAGGCCTCAGAGCGCAACGGCGCAGCAAAAAAAAGGCACATGACCACATGGGAAATTCAGGAAAATATTGAATGATTTTCAGCAACCAGTTGACACAAGATAGATGCATCAATCATTGCCCAAATTTCCCAAAATGTTGATCAAAAAACAAATGTTGATCAACAAAAAGTATATCAAAATTTTATTGATCAACAAAATCTCCACTGTGGAAACCCACCAGAATGTTGATCAACAAAAAAAAACTCAAAAATTTGTTGATCAACAAAATTTCGACCTCAAATTTTGTTGATCAACAAAATTGTGTTTTTTCAATATTATCTCTTGCCAGGGGGGACCGCCCCCCCCCCCCGCGGGAGCGCTCGCCAAATTTTTGGGAGCCATATTGAACTCTAAACCCTAAACTCCAACCTCAGCATGATTATCGAATGTTTTTTTCTGAAGTAACTTCATGAAATTCACCTTGGGCAGCCACAAGTGCAAACCATTTTAATACCAAGAACGTGGGGCCAATGTTGACTTGGAAGCTTTCAACCACTCCTTCTTAGACCATCCAGTGTACTGGAAATTTGCCGGAAACAGCTCCACTTGTTTAGAAACAAATTATATGTTGGATACTTTAGTCTTGTTGAAACCCCAAGGCACACACAAAGTCTAACACATGCTCACTCACACCTGACACCACCCGAACTCAGCTCTATACTTGGGAGCCCTGACATCGCTGTGGGCGACGAATACGATGTTGTACGTAAAGTTGCTCGCAGCCTCAGGTTGAAGCATCTCAATAACATCAACCCAAAGGTGACCTGAAGGTCTTTTGCGAGCTTCATAAAACCAAGGTCACTTTGATCTAATTGCAGGGTCAATATCTACATCGTCAGTTCAGATCGCACTGCAGATGGATTTGCGTGCTAAAGTCACTTCATGTAATTCCCTTGAGACATCAACATCACGCCTTTTTTTCTCAACCCAACCACGGTCGGGGAGGAGACGCGGTTTCCCGCAAATGCAGAGGTGCAGCCATGGGATGACTTGCAACTGACGACATTTTTTTGTCCCAGGCACTTTGTCTAAAAATAAAGACTCCATTTAACAATGCTTCAAATGAACACCAACCCCGTTTCATCCCAAGGCCACACATGCATGACTGTGCGAAGTTCTGCCAGCGGACTGGCGCGGAAATGCAATGTCAAGTGCCTTACAGTATATAGTGCAAAGTTGATGTGTTGTCAACTGCAGCCTATGCAACAACTCTTGAACTACTTTTGGAAAGCAATGCCAAACGTCATGACTGATGAGTCTGCACCTAGAATTCAACCAAAAAGAAAAATTGCTGACACATGCACACTGCATCCTGCTGCCTGTCAATTTCGCTTTTAAAAAAGCCATCACTTTGGTTTTGCACCATGGACCAATGATTTGTAACATGCCCTCTTGTATGGACTGTATCCAGATTAACAGGTATGTGTTATGCCTGGACCCGATCAGCACATCCCCAGATGGGTTCATCACCCGTTTGTCCATGCATGTCTGCCATGGTATGGGTGGCAGGGGCTGTGCAGGGTCCTTCATACCAAAGTGAGCTGTGGTTACACTGTGATCTGGCCCGAAGCTTCCAAAATTGTTTGGATGCAACTGTTGTGCCTCCACACCATCCAGGGGCACATGGAATGGTGATGCAGCACTCTATCCAATTTGTTAGTTTGCGTGGTCGCACTGCCTGCATGGAGCTGTTGTTTTTCCAGTGGTCGTGTAATGCCATATTATAGGACCCCTTCTAGGTTCCATGTGCCCGTGGACCTACATTTTATCTAACGCCTTCTCTGCAAGCGTTGCCAGCCTATCCATCATGGTGCGCTGGTGCTTCTTCTCATCGATCTGCTCTTGCTCCAGTGCAGCCTTACGCTTGCTCGCCTGCGCCTTTGCCCCTCCTCTGGTCCTGCACTTGGCGGGCTGCCCTTCCCCACGCGATAGTCCATCGCCAGGCCTCAGAAGTATGCAGGCAGGGCCCAAAATTTGCAGACGTAACATAACTTGGGTTCATGCCTCTAAATGATTTCATGACGACTATTCACATTGTATGCGCAACTGCAACTTGCACACTCTGGGACACCACAGAAATCAATATGGCCGAGATGCGGGTGGTACACTCAATCCTGTCCAGGAATCACCTCGAAGCCACCCATGGAGATGCGATGTTTGGGTTCTTAGCCAATACCCTGAGATGCTCAATGAACATCCGACCTGCGTCACTGACAGACTGCAGTTTTGGGAGATCCTTGTGAACCTTCTTGATGGTTGCCAACACAAGGTTCACTGACATGAGGCCAATTGCATGCAATTTGTCGGAGTCTCCCAGCTGGTGTGTGGTGCAGAGCTGCTCAGCCAATGCCATGGCAGCCTCAGCATCCTTCATGCCAGGAATCATATTCCCTGCCAATGCTTTGCGGACGTCACCGATACCAAGAACCTTGTCCGGCACCATGTAGAGAGCCCTCAAAACACCTTAAGTGCCATCAAGATTGATGCAAATCAACATGAACCATTGGGCAAAATATGAAAGCAGCTCAATGACGATCAAGGCACAGTGGCGATACTTGGCATACTGCTCAGTGCCCTTCAAGTCCTGGCTAAGAGCTGCAAAGACATCTGGCCCCAGACTCCTTCGAGCATGCCCATGTGCACGAATGAAGCTTTCCGTTTCGTCCATCAAATGGCCAGAAACACCGCCGGAAAACTTGAGCACGAACCCAAACATCATGGGGCATGTCATAGCCAACGTTGGCTTGGATATCAGCACAGCAGTCTTCACATCGTTCCATGTGATGACCGTCTTGCCTTGGCCCATCTGAGCAACCACAGCAGCCCAAATCTTCCGGAGGAGCTGGAGCTCTGACTCCGAACGGCTCAGATGTGAGGCCACGTTCATGGAAGATTGCAGTAGGTGCGGGAGCTCAGGAAACTCATGAGGAACTTGGCTGCTAACCACCAGCCAATGGCAGGCCCTCTGTGCAGGCTGCATGATAGGCCTTGTCCATCTCTGACAATTTTGCCAGTGACAGTTTCCCATCTTGGCCTGTGCATGCTGGGTTGTCGTGCATGACACCATGGATCCAGCAATTCAACCCAGCGTTCAGGTGAGAGCCTGCAACGCTCGCATACCTGATCAACTCGGTGTTGAGACATGCTAGCTTCCTACTTGCACGATGTCTGTGATGAGACCATGAACTTCTGATGTGGAGATGCCAAGTCCGTCTCTGTTGCGAGGATGGCAGCCTACCTGGTGAGGCAGAAGCTTCTGCGACCAGGCCAAACCACTTTTCTTAAGAAGGGCGAGGATCTTGTCAATCATGCTCACCAGTTTCTCCCCGCCTTTCGCTTTCTCCAACAGCGCCATGATCTCTGCCTTCAGCTCTGCTGAGATCGCCATGGCAGGAACTTTCCGTTGTTATACCTTCAAATCTGAACCAAATTTCTGCAGTCGGCAGATGCGAGTTTACTCTGCATCTAGAGATGCGATCAAAGACCTGCATCCATCGACAGCAATTTGATTGCGCGACCTTTCTGACACATGGATTACCATCGCCACTGAAGGTATATAATATATGACCAAGTCAAACCTCTTAAGATATTTGACCAAATCAATTTTCCAAAAGCACCCCTTGTCAGAAGGCGCCTGCACAGGCCAACGCATGCCCACCATCGACGATCTGGGCGGACCAACATCCAGGAAAATGATGATTCAAAGGAAAAATCATTGCAAGTTTTAAGATAAACAAAAAAGGTTCCACCAAACCATATTCGTTTCGTTCTCTGTTTTTTTGTTCCGCTCTGCTCATCATGTTGTACTTTGCAAGATGCATGGGTTGAAAGATATCTGAGCCAAGGTGGTTTAATTTTAAAACATGATTGAAATCATTGTTTTCGCACCAGGACACACCCAAAAACAAACGTAACAGATTTCAAAAAAACATATTTGTATTCCACGGCCTCTGTTCTTTCACCCGCTGGGCTGCATCTCAAACCCAAATTGGCACGTGAAAAAACAAAACATCCTACACCAAAATTGAATAACATCATGCACCCAAATGTTAAAAATAAAAATTCAGCCCGGTCCAAACACAAAATCGCTCCGTGTGAATTCTGAAAAAGCAACCTGCACCAACCCAACAAACAAAAATCCCATGGTAATTTTCCTATGTTCTGGGATCCCTAAATCAGACTTAGCAGACTTAGCAAAAATTACTAAGTTATACTTAGGTGAGTTATGTAAACTTGCTAAGTGGGACTTAGACAAGTTATGTAAACCCTTTAAACCCATTTATGCAACTTACTGTAACTCGTCTAAATCATGTATTCCACTTAGGCTAACTCTGCTATATCGACACATAAAGTTAGCTAATCGAACTATCTACTTATGCGATATAGTAAACTTTAGTAACATATTCGAAAAGTTAGTATCTAGATTTATTTTTTTATGCCACTTAAATGATATATAAGTCTCATAAGTATAACTTAAAACACTTATAACTATACTTAGCAGACTTATGTAACTCATGTAAACCATCCAAATATTTACTAAACCCCATGAACATCCAAGCAGCCAATCAATGGATTAGATTTGGCATGCCGTCTGCAGCTGTCTACTCAGCATACTTCGCGAATTCCAGGCACACCAGTGAAGCAACTGCCCAAGCCCTGGAAGTAGCCTACAAGTTGTTGCAGAGAGCGCAGGACATCGAGAAGAAGTGTTCCGGATGGGAGTTTTTGTCAAAAGGGTCGAGATTCGTGAAGGTCTTTGCCAGCAGATGCCCATATGAAGATGCAACTATGGGACGCTTCATGGACAAAGAGATCTACGACAGACTTGATGAGCTCTGGATCGTATTGCCCAAAGGACACTTTCCCGAACCTTTTGATGATCAAGCCACTGCTGCAGAGACTGAGGCGAAGATCCGAAGCATGAAACAAATTTATCGAGGAACACCATCATTCAACACAGATCCAAGTGCAACATCATGGTTAGCTGTGACAAGGACCGCCGAATACTTCAAAGTCATGGACGAGTTGACCAAGGTGAATCCGAAGTCTCCATCTGACAATGATAGCTATTTGACGGCAATGAAGCACATGGTTGAGATCCAGATGAGGCACCTAGGACATGCATTGAGGTATCACAACGAGCAGAACCCATCGAATCAGATAATCTTGCAGGATGTGATGAAAGATGTGATTGCATTTGAAACCAACCAACCGAAAGGAAGGAGTGCAGCCCAGAATCATTTCTTATGCTTGTTAGCCCTCGGCACGACACTCGAAAGACACAAGACCAGCGCTCGAGGAGATGGGAATTTGTCGAAGGTAGCAGAATTATCCGAGATCCAGTTCTCGATCCTCAAAGTCTTTGACATCCCTCAGGGAATCTTGATTGGGCATGGTTACAATGTCTCGATTGCCGATGAAGGAGCCAGGTACACTGAGAAAGAAAGACGTCATGCCTGCCACAGCTCCCTCAAAGATTTCACTACCGTGATGACCGAGACTCAAGCTGGAACGGCTGGAGGCATGCACAATTTCGACAACTGGGATGTTCCCCTGAACTTCAAAGATGGACGAAGACCCGACGAAGTCGACTTCTGGAACAATGAGGAACCTTCATGGGTGAATGATGACACATCAACTGGACCGAGTGCCCAGAGTACATCCGCTCCTACGGAGGGATCACAGCCAAAGGCATCGCAACAATCACAAAGTTCGAACATTCAACCGAAGAAGATGCCGAGATCATCGACTGGCGGAGGTTCATCTTCGTCGACCCATGCAGCTTTCCGATCTGGACCTGGAGCGACATCTCAGGGCCGTACCGAACCAGAAAGAGATGAAAATTGGATTCCAACTGAAGACTGGATGAAGAGGAGGAAACCTTCAACCGTGGAAGTGCGTCTCCATACTGCCGAAGATTATGCACGTGAAGAACAGAGAATTGCATTCTTGAGATCCGGCAAAGACTTTGTGCTTTCCATCGTAGAGGGTCCTCACACTACTCACAAGTATGGAACCAATTTGATCTGGAAACAATATTTGAGAAGATTAACATTTCATGCTGCTCTATCTGTCAACATGCTGACAGAAGGACAACTTGATTCCCACATGATCAATGAGAGCGACTACGAATGGTTGAAGCTCTACCACTACATCATCACGGCCACCGAGTTTGTCAGATGCAAAGGATATCCAGTGACGGAGGTCCTAGCTATGCTGACATTGGGCATTGAAGATACGGTGGCGGGCGAGATTCGAATCAAGCTCAAGAAGTTGGGAAACAAGATTGGACAGTTCATCATCGGGAAGCCTTGGACGGACCAATGGGACGAATTGGGAGGACAAGTGAGAAACAACAAAGCCCTCATCTTGACGGATTTGACCTACCAAACGAGATCTAGCTCGAGAATCATCAATGACATTGAGGCTGGGCTCAACAACATGGGTCTCTCGTCCATCAAGGTGTACCAACTTCCCTATGAATCCCTGGAGAAGCCCGAGGATTTCTTGAAACTGGCAACGAAAGCATTGACTTTCCTACAAACCAACGCCAACACGTTCTCAGGTGCCACTGTTCACATTTGGATCTCTTTCGCAGCATTCAGAGGACAAAATCGCATGCTGATGCCAAATGCAGACTTCATCATCAAATTGGCGGAGATCATCACAGATATCAGCCAAGCAGCACCTCTTCCAATTTTCGTCAACATTCTGAAAGACGCCCGGTTTCTTGGGTCCCAATCTTCGATTGTATCCATGGCCGAGGAGCTTGCAAGAATCATGAGGGAAAAGGGCATCATTCACTCCACCAATGAAAGATTCTGGAAACAGATATATGCTTGTGGACGTGAGCCTTTCTATTGGAAAGAAGGTGAAGGCAAGGAAGTCATTTGGGCTATGCTTGAAAAGTCACTGATGCGACAGAAGGTCTTCTTACATTGTGCTATGGATCATGATACAGTCCATGACCTGAATGAAGAATGCGTCCATGTGAAGAACACCGGATTTGACATTGAAACCATCAAACGATGCACAGAACATCCACGAATTGTTCCCAGCATTCGTGCTGGAGAAATCACAGATGCTCAAGCTGGATCGGCAAACATCATCGGAGGGATGAAGCACATGAAAGATTCGGTCCAGAGAAAAGCATGGTCAGACATCCGACGAGGAGTATTCACCCCGGAGCCCCTGACAGATGTGGATGAGCATTGGGTTGAGGTGACCGAAGATTCCGAATTGATGTGCGATGTGTGCAAAGGATTTCATCAAAATGATTCGAGATTGAATACCTGCACTGAGAACCGCACAAGATGTCTGAACTGCGCAAGCAACTGGACAAGAGCGGCAATCTACGGAACTGAAGACATTGGGATGGATGAATTTTCACAGGATGCAAGAGTAGCTGCAAGATTGCTCAACATCTACAACGAGTGCGTCGACTGGAGAGAAATGGAAGCCGAAAAGGACCTCCGTGGATTTTTGGTTACTGCGACACTTGCAATGCTATCAGGATACTGGACGACAAGCGATGTTCTCAAACAGGTATCACATCGAGGTGCCATCCGCATGCCTGCATACATGGTGAAGGGAAAATGCAGACGAGACCTGTTGCCCCAATTCAATGTGCAACGTGAAACTCGTACAGAGGATTGCGGAGGTGGATCTCACCGAATTCGATGGTTTTACAGACTGCTTTGGGATGGTGGAAACGTCGCTTATCATGACTACATGAAGACCGTATTGACCAAGGAGGAGATCGCATCCATGCTCAATCCAACCGCGACAGCTGAGTATGTCGGCGACATTTTCGAATTCTGGCTTGGGATGCTTGATCTGGGTATTCAATTCCCTACTATGTTTGGTGGATGGGGGGCAAACCTTGACAGTTGCCTCGCAGGACTGGAAGAATCATTCTGGCTCTTCAGCAGTTCATGTCGACCTACCGACACCATCAACACGAAGCGAAACCGATCCAGGAAAGCATACATCCCACCGGTCGAGAACGATATGGTGACAACAGTCTTG